ACATTTAAAGAAGAATTAATACCTATTCTCCTGAAACTGTTTCAAAAAATAGAAATGGAAGGAAAACTTCCATACTCGTTTTATGAGGCCACCATTACCTTGATCTCAAAACCAGACAAAGACCCCATCAAAAAGGAGAATTAAAGACCAATATCCTTGATGAACATGGATGCAAAAATTCTCACCAAAATACTAGCCAATAGGATCCAACAGTACATTAAAAGGATTATTCACCACGGCCAAGTGGGATTTATTCTTGGGCTGCAAGGTTGGTTCAACATCTGCAAATCAATCAACGTGATAACAATACATTAATAAAAGAAAGAACAAGAACCATATGATCCTCTCAATAGATGCAGAAAAAGCATTTGACAAAGTACAGCATCCTTTCTTGATCAAAACTCTTCAGAGTACAGGGATAGAGGGCACATACCTCAGTATCATAAAAGCCATCTATGGGGCGCCTGGGTGGCTCAGTTGGTTAAGCGACTGCCTTCGGCTCAGGTCATGATCCTGGAGTCCCGGGATCGAGTCCCACATCGGGCTCCCTGCTCAGCGGGGAGTCTGCTTCTCCCTCTGACCCTCTTCCCTCTCGTGCTCTCTCTCTCTCATTCTCTCTCTCTCTCAAATAAATAAATAACATCTTAAAAAAAAATAAAAGCCATCTATGAAAAACCTACAGCGAATATCATTCTCAATGGGAAAAAACTGAGAGCTTTCCCCCTAAGGTCAGGAACATGGCAGGGATTCCACTATCACCACTGCTATTCAACATAGTATTAGAAGTCCTAGCCACAGCAATCAGACAACAAAAAGAAATCAAAGGCATTGAAATCGGCAAAGAAGTCAAACTCTCACTCTTTGCAGATGATATGATATTTTATGTAGAAAACCCAAAAGACTCCACCCCAAAACTGCTAGAACTCATACAGGAATTCAGTAAATTCTATAAAGAACTTATCAAACTCAACACCCAAGGAACAAATAATCCAAACAAGAAATGGGCAGAAGACATGAACAGACCTTTTTTCAAAGAAGACATCCAGGTGGCCAACAGACACATGAAAAAGTGCTCAACATTGCTCAGCATCAGGGAAATCCAAAACAAAACCTCAATGAGATACGACCTCACACCAGTCAGAATGGCTAAAATTAACAAGTCAGGAAACGACAGATGTTGGCAGGGATGCGAAGAAAGGGGAATCCTCCTACACTGTTGGTGGGAATGCAAGCTGGTGCAGCCACTCTGTAAACAGTATGGAGGTTCCTCAGAAAGTTGGAAATAGAGCTACCCTACGACCCAGCCATTGCACTACTGGGTATTTACCCCAAAGATACAAATGTCATGATCTGAAGGGGTGGGGTACATGCCCACCAATGTTTATAGCAGCAATGTCCACAATAGCCTAACTATGGAAAGAGCCAAGATGTCCATCGACAGATGAATGCATAAGGAAGATGTGGTAATATATACGTAGAATGGAATATTATGCAGCCATCAAAAGGGATGAAATCTTGCCATTTGCAATGATGTGGATGGAACTGGAGAGCATTAGGCTGAGCGAAATAAGTCAATCAGAGAAAGACATGTATCATATGACCTCACTGATATGAGGAATTCTTAATCTCAGGAAACAAACTGAGTGTTGCTGGAGTGGTGGGGGTGGGAGGGATGGGGTGGCTGGGTGATAGACATTGGGGAGGGTATGTGCTATGGTGAGCACTGTGAATTGTATAAGACTGTTGAATCACAGACCTGTACCTCTGAAACAAATAATACATTATATGTTAAAAAAAAGAAGAATATATCAGGAAGGGAAAAATGAAGGGGCGAAATCGGAGGGGGAGACAAACCATGAGAGACTGTGGACTCTGAGAAACATACTGAGGGTTCTAGAGGGGACGGGGATGGTGAGATGGGTTAGCCTGGTGATGGGTATTCAAGAGGGCATGTACTGAATGGAGCACTGGGTGTTATACGCAAACAATGAATCATGGAACACTACATCAACAAGTAATGATGTAATGTATGGTGATTAACATAACATAAAAAAAGAAATATTTAGTGGTTTAAATAGGCAGCATAAAGTAATTAAGTGGCTATGTTTTTGGCAGGGTCAATGAGGTAGAAAAAAGGATCAGTTTAAGAAGATGTGGAATATACAAGATTAAGAAGATGTGGAATATACAAGATTAAGAAAATTATGTTTGAACAGCTGTTTTGGGTGACTAAATATAAATGTCTTACAAGATTTGGAATAAAATAGCTTGAAGATTGGGGAAAAGACTGGAAAGAATATAAAATCTGATGGTTCAGGGGTACCTGGGTGGCTCAGTCGGTTAAGCATCTGCCTTTGGCTCAGGTCATGATCCCAGGGTCCTGGGATCAAGTCACACATTGGGCTCCTTGCTCAGCGGGGAGTCTGCTTCTCCCTCTGCCCCTCCCCCTCCTCTCCCATACTCCGTCTCTTGCTTTCTCTCAAATATAGAAATGAAATCTTAGAAAAATTTGATGGTTCAAATAAATGGTTAAAAGTGGGAATTCATAAAATCACTCAGGGAGAGCATGTAAAATAAAAAAAGTAAATGTTTCAATATTGGAGGAGCTACGAAATGAAGTAACCAGTTAGCAGGCATATGATCACTTTTAAACTTAATCCATAAAATTTTTATTCTACATTCTAACTATTCCTTAGACAAACATCCTGGCTCCTCTGTTATCTATAAGAAAATATGTTGCTAACTTTAAATTTTAAAAAATGAGGCAGTATTTCTTTTTACTTTATGAATACGTTCAACTCTAAGATACTGGCATTTCTTTTTAGCAACAAATAATCCTATTTCCAAAATTCTGATGTATACGTTCACAGGTAAAGCTCTGCAGAAAGGCAGAGTAATGACTACAGTGTTCACCATCAACTGATAGGTTATCTGTTAGACTCTGAAGCTCCTTTCCTGTGAGCTCGATTCCCATGTTTTCTAGAACAGTATTGACTTGACTTCTTTTAACCTTCCCTCCTTAGGAAAGAGACAGAAACAGTGACAAAAACCATTAAAATATGAAAGCACATTAAAGACTAGAAATATTGTGGTGCCTGGGTGGCTAAGTTGGTTAAGTGTCTGACTCTTTTTTTGGCTCAAGTCATGTTCTCAGGGTTGTGAAATCAAGCCCTGTGTTGGGCTCTGAGCTGGGCTTGGAGTCTGCTTAAGATTCTCTCTCTCATTCTCCCTATGCCTCCCCCACCTGCCATGTGCTCTCTCACTCTAAAAATAAATAAAGAAAAATAAAGAAAAAATACTAGACATATATCAGTGCTCTGTTACTATTGTATTAAAAACGTTTTAATGTTAAAATGAAAAAAATTAGGAGTAAGGAAAAATAGAATCCATTTTTCAGTACTATTAATATTGCTTTGAAACATGAGTACCAAACTTTAACATTGTGTTAAAGAACCTTAAGCTTTACCATGATGAAACTATGCACACGAAATAATTTATGAAGGGGTTTTGCAACTGAAAATGAAGACAACTCATGGAATTTATAATAGAGAAGGATTTTGAAAAAAGCCTCAGTTGCCAGAAAACTTGTGCTGATTTCCACTGGAACTTGACCATTCCCTTAAGCCTGGTGAATCCATGCTGTGAAAATAGTTTATGAGCACAGATTTTTTGGTGAATTTGTTAAGACAGAAAACTATTTGTATTAGTATAAAAGAATATGTAATTATCTTTTAAACTCCCTGGCATGGTATCAGAGAGGACTGTAGTTAAAAATGTTCTGCATGGAGCACTGGGTGTTATAGGCAAACAATGACTCATGTAACACCACATGAAAAACTAATGAGGTAATCTATGGTGATTAACATAATAAAAGAAAAGAAAAGAAAAAGAAAAAAATTAAAAAAATGTTCTGAAATTGAAGCAGGAGCTGAGACTGGGAGGGCATGAAAAGGAAAATTTACCATTAAAGTTGTAAAACAGGAGGCCTAGAGACTGGAGAAGAATAGCTAGATTGGGGAACAGAACAGAAAGACTGACAATACAAGTTTCTGGCTATCATCGTCCCATTTCTAAGGTGATACTTGATTTAGTTGATAAGGACACAGAGCAAGATGTTATCAAATGGGCAGCATGGTTAAATCCACATTAAATGAAAAAATAATCCTGCTGCCACTCTTCTAAAGGGCCTAGGAATGCCAAGAGGCATTCTTCTTGTAGCAGAAGACTCCTCAATAGGTATCAAGTGGAAGAGCTTCTAAGTCTTTCCTTCATTCTCCTTATGCTCTTCTCTTCTTTTGGATTAAGCACTGGCAAGAGGGAAAGCAAAACAAAAACAAACCCTAGGCACAGGCTTTGCCTACAGGTTTTTGCTTGTTTGTTTGTTTTTTACTGAATCTCACTAAAAACATATTCTTTTTAAAAATTTTTTATTGTTATGTTAATCACCATACATTACATCATTAGTTCTTGATGTAGTGTTCCATGATTCATTGTTTGTGCATAACACCCAGTGCTCCACGCAGAACGTGCCCTTCTTAATACCCATCACCAGGCTAACCCATCCCCCCACCCCCCTCCCCTCTAGAACCCTCAGTTTGTTTTTCAGAATCCATCGTCTCTCATGGTTTCTCTCCCCCTCCGACTTACTCCCCTTCATTCTTCCCCTCCTGCTATCTTCTTCTTTTTCTTTTTTCTTAACATATCTTGCATTATTTGTAAAAACATATTCTTTTAAGAGGAACTATAATGAATATTTATTTATGATTTTGGTTTTGATTCTATCAGGAAACAATGCCCAATCTTTTTGAGAATAGAAACTATTTTTGTTTTCTTTGCTTGCTTAACTAATCCTCAGACTAGCTACCTATCATCCTTTTCATGTTTTGCTGTATCTACCTAGAATTCAACTTATACTTTCAAGATTAATTTTTGGAAAATATAAGAAAATGTGGGACCTACAAAGATTTAAAAATATTTTATCATAAAATACCACATTTAAAATAAAGAAACTACATTTAAAAATCAGTTCCTAGGGGTGCCTGGGTGGCTCAGTCTGTTAAGTGTCTGCCTTCGGCTCCGGTCATGATCCCAGGGTCCTGGGATGGAGCCCTGGATCGGGCTCCCTGCTTGGCGGGAAGCCTGCTTCTCCCTATCTCTCTGCCTGCTACTCCCTCTGCTTGTGCTCTCTCTGTCAAATAAATAAAATCTTTAAAAAAAAAAATAAAAATCAATTCATAGAAGGGTGGCTTGGTTAAAACTCTAATGAGATAAATTAAACTGTTAACTCTCAAATTGCTCATTAACTCACCTTTGAAAGACTTCAGATTATCCAACAATCTATTTTGATAGATCTTCTCAGAAGGTACAATGCAAAGCATAGTCCTTGTCAGATAAAATACTATGTAGATGGTCAGAAAGATGCTACATATATTCCATAAATACAGGGAGAGTTTTCATTTACTGAATAAATATGTTCTTATTTCAACCTCCAGTTAAAAAAAAAAAAAGGAGACTAGGGGCTCCTGGGTGGCTCAGTTGGTTAAGCAACTGCCTTCGGCTCAGATGATCCTGGAGTCTCAGGATCGAGTCCCGCATCGAGCTCCCTGCTTGGCAGGGAGTCTGCATCTCCCTGTTACCCTGCCACCTCTCATGCTCTCTCTCTCAAATAAATAAAATCTTTAAAAAAAAAAAGGAGACTATGAGAGAACTTTCAATGAGAATTATGCAATTCTAAAGACCTGACAAAAACTGTTAACAGGCACTCTACACTTTCTTTCTTCTTTGATCTCTTGTGTGTAATTCTTCTAAAAGTCTCTCCCCAGATCACATTCCTTCATTTTCTTTCTTGTAGTTTTGTCATTGGCTAGAGGTGATGACATAAAACATTTGTTTTGACAGATGTTGGCAGGGATGCAGAGAAAGGGGAACCCTCCTACACTGCTGGTGGGAATGCAAGCTGGTGCAACTACTCTGGAAAACAGTATGGAGGTTCCTCAAAAAGTTGAAAATAGAGCTACCATATGATCCAGCAATTGCACTACTGGGTATTTACCACAAAGATACAAATGTTTAGGGATCTGAAGGGGTACGTGCGCCCCAATGTTTATAGCAGCAATGTCCACAATAGCCAAACTGTGGAAAGAGCCAAGATGTCCATCGACAGATGAATGGATAAAGAAGATGTGGTGTATATGTGTGTGTGTATACACACACACACACACACACACACACACAGGAATATTATTCAGCCATCAAAAGGAATGAGATCTTGCCATTTGCAACGACATGGATGGAACTGGAGGGTGTTATGCTGAGTGAAATAAGTCAACCAGAGAAAGACATATATCATATGACCTCACTGATATGAGGAATTCTTAATCTCAGGAAACAAACTGAGGGTTGCTGGAGTTGGGGTGGGAGGGATGGGGTGGCTGAGTGATGGACATTGGGGAGAGTATGTGCTATGGTGAGCGCTGTGAATTGTGCAAGACTATTGAATCACAGATCTGTACCTCTGAAACAAATAATGTGATATATGTTAAGAAAGAAAGAAGAAGAAGATAGCAGGAGGGGAGGAATGAAGGGGGGTTAATTGAAGGGGGAGATGAACCATGAGAGACAATGGGCTCTGAAAAACAAACTGAGGGTTCTAGAGGGGAGGGGGATGGGGAGATGGGTTAGCCTGGTGATGGGTATTAAAGAGGGCACGTTCTGCGTGGAGCACTGGGTGTTATGCACAAACAATGAATCGTGGAACACTACATCACAAACTAAAGATGTAACGTATGGTGATTAACATAACAATAAAAAATTTAAAGAATAAAACATTTGTTTTGCCCGTGATGGCCTGGGTTAAAATGAATAGAAGGGTATCCATAGAACTTAAGACCTATGTATATATAGGTCTTATTTCAAGCTAAAAGAGAACCTTTAAAAACTTCTCCCAGTGTACTATAAAGCTAAGTACTCTAGAAGGCAACTAAGGTATCTTTATGGCTCACCACCAACTGGAAGCTTCTTCAGCAGCCTCTTTTGTTCTTTATCTGTTAGCTCAACACCCAAATTGCTCACAAAATCTGGTACATGTTGCGCATTCATCTTTTTTCCTTTGAAAATATGAAATGTGACTGTTCAAGAATTTTATAGAATAATTATTTCAAATAATAATTAATAATGTGAAAAATGTTTCTTCCTAATTTGTGGAAGTTCAAAGATATAATAAGATATAGACATCTATAGAGAATTAAGAAGGATCATATATCTAATTTACATAAAGATACTAAAGTATGATTTCCTAATCTGACAAGGAGTCAGAATAGAGTAAATTTTATCTGAATAATTATCTGGTTAATGACGATATCAATATCATTTATATATCTTACTAGAGAGTATTAATGTATTTTAAATATTTTTTCTGAAATGTTATTTGCTTAAAAGACTGACAATAAAAAAGCTTTATCTTGTTGCTTGATATATCCTAATTTGGCAATCTATTAATAACGTTGAAGTGAATAATATTGTTAGTGTAAAAACTCCAGAAAGTTGAGAAGTTGTTAGACTTTTAATCACTATATAAAAAGGCAAACTATGGGACATCAGGAGCAAATGTTTTATTAGAAAAGGTTGAAAGCTAAAATTTACAAATCAGTAAAATAATGATAGAAAATATTATTTAAAACTACTACTACATAAAGCTTACTGATCTTGGTTTTATATAACTTCCCACTGACCTGCAGAAGCTTTTAATCCATCAAACAACTTTTTCATTGCAATTCTTCCATATACTGTAAGAAGAAATGCAAATAATAAAAAAGAAACACACTGTGATGCGTAGAAATAATCTGAGATGAAAATATTCCAGCAACACTGACATATCAAGAATGTTCTCTACTTTTACCCTTTTCCTGAGAAGAAGTGTAAAGAAGTGACACATGAAAAATATAACTTCAATAGCATAACTGTGATTTCATTCATCTTAAATCAAACCTGTAACAGTCAAGGGGTAAGATTCAAAAGACACCTATTGCCCAGGGTCTACTTTTGAGCTCTAAGATTTTGAAGAACTTTCTTATTTATATAAGACCCCTACAAGAGGATTTCAAGTTGGTATATGCTATTCAAAAATGTTGAAATTGGGGTTTTAGAAATGATTTTCTCCTGTAATGTGTTCTCATCTGGTATTCCCTGATGGTAAGCACAGACAGATTTAGTTCCTCCTTTTTGGATTACAAGATCAATTTTAATCACTTTGAAGATAATTCCTTTACATCAGCAGTTGGGGGGGTGGTTATTATACTGAGAAACTAATAGATTTTTATTTTCAACTTAATATTTTTTTGAAATTTTTATTTGGATAATTGTAGGTTCATATGAAGTTGTTAGAAAAAATATAAAGCTATGCCTTGTACATTTTTGCCCAGCTTCCCCTAATGATAAGACTTACAAAACCATAGTATAATATAAAAAATAGGATGTTGGCATTGATACAATTCACCATTATTTAGATTTCATTAGTTTTCCTTGTACTGATTTGTGTGTCTGTGTGAAGGTTCATGTATGCACTGCCATAGTCAAGATCCTGACTGCACCAAAAGGACCCTTTGGTAACCACCCCACCTTCCTCTGTCTCCACCAATCCCCTATCCCTAAATCCTGGCAAGCACTAATTGCCCTACATTTCTAAAATTTTATTATTTCAAAATCTTATGTAAATGGAATTGTACAGTGTGTAACCTCTGAGCTTGGCTTTCTTTGGTTCTGCATAATTATCTGGAAATTCATCCAAGTTGTTGCATGAGTCAAATAGTTACTTTATTTTTACTGATGAATAGTATTCCATGATACATATGGACCACAGTTTGTTTAGCCATCTACCTGTTCAAGGGTACCTGGGTTGATTCCAGACTTTGCTCTTATGTTCATGTACAGATTTTTGTGCAAACATAAGTTTTTATTTCTCTGGGATCAATGCCCAGAGGTGTAACTACTAGGTCCTATGGTAGTTTTATGCTTAGTTTTTTTTTTAAAAACTGGAACTTTTTCTCTAGTGATTATATCACTTTATGTTTCCACCAGGAAGGGTGAGTGACCCAGATTCTCTAGCATCCTCATCAACATTTGGTGTTGTCACCATTTAATTTTAGCTATTTGGATAGGTATGCAGTGATATCTCATTGTAGTTTTAAGTTGCATTTCCTTGATGCCTAATGATGTCAAGCATCTTTCCATGTGTTTATTTGATACTGGTAGATCCTCCATGGTGAAATATTTTTTCACATAATTTCCCCATTTTCTAATTGGACTGTTTATATTTTATGTTGCTGAGTTTTGAGGATCCTTTGAATCAGAGCTATTAGCCCTTTGTCAGATGTGTCATTTGCAAATATTTTCTCTCAGACTGTAGGTTGTCTTTCACCATCTCCACACTGCTTTCACAGAGCAAAAGCTTTTCATTTTGATGAGGTTTAACATCCACTTTTTCCCCTTATGGGTCATACTTTTCATGTAATATGTTTTTAAATTCATTTACTGAATAGGTAACATAAGCATAAATTACATAACTTCAAATGTTATCACTGTGTATATAGTGAAAAATAAATCTTCCTCATAAACATATCCTCTATCAGAGTTCTCTTCCCTCTAAGGAACATTGATGTTTTATTCTGTTTTAGAGATATTCTATGCATATATTTGTATACAAATATAAAGCTGACTGGTTCTTTTGATGACTCTATATATTTCATTGAATGGATGTTCTGTAATTATGGAATCAGTTTTAAAATGCACAAAATTGATATAAATTGCTTCTCCCTGTATTTTCAGATATGTTGTTTTAAGAGAATGTATATTGTTTGTTCAAATATTCTCTGCCCCTTTCTATCAAGCCTGTCCTTAAGGATGATACTTCTGTTCCTAATGATATCATGTAAGGTGCTTTGCCTAATGAAATATTTGTGTCTCTTCTGAGCAGAAACTTTAAGAACTACCACATAGTGGCATCATCTCTGTTTTTCCCTGTCACAAAGGTGACATCATCCAGACAGGGACTGCTCCTTCAGCCTGTGCCCTATAATAGAGACCAGAGGGACAGCCAACCTATGGGCAGTATCTTATTTTGAGTGACATGCAAAAAAATCTTTTGCCATAAGCCACTGAGATTTGGGGGTTGTCTGTTACTACTGCACCATAGCTAACTGATACAGAAACTAGAAACACAAGTGTGGTGCTGTCTTAGCAACAACAACAGCAATAGCAAAAACAATGAAAATATGTGGTACTGGCTCTGGTGCTGGGAGTGGTGGGTGAGGAAGTTGTTCCTGGAGGCTGGAATGAATGAACTCCTGCCTTGCAATGGTGTTGGCAAGTCTATCAATTTCAACAACTGAGAAGGTAGATAATGTGCTGAAGATGCTTGTGCCTTAAAAGAAGAGGTGAGGAAATACAGTGTTACTAGAGTATCTGGTTGATATTGGCTGCCATGGAGAAGTTACTAGAAGAAGAAATGAACTCAGAAACAAAAGGACTGCCTGGAAAGCAGGGACTAAAGAGAACAGAGAGATCTGGAAATTCTGGGTCCTGCGTGGTAAACAAAAATGAACTATTTCTCATCTTCTATAAATAGAAGATAACCCCAAGGATTTCTTTCAGTGATCAAGGGCATTTAAAAGTAAGGCTTCTGAATGAAACTCGACCATTCTCTAACACCATACACAAAGATAAACTCAAAATGGATGAAAGACTGCAATGTGAGACAGGAATCCATCAAAATCTTAGAGGGGAACATAGGCAGTAACCTCTTTGACATCGGCCACAGCAACTTCTTTCAAGATCTCCAAAAGCTAGTGAAACAAAAGCAAAAATGAACTTTTGGGATTTCATCAAGATGAAAGGTTTCTATACAGCAAAGGAAACAGTCAACAAAACAAAGAGGCAACCCACAGAATGGGAGAAGATATTTGCAGATGACACTACAGATAAAGGGCTAGTATCCAAGATCTATAAAGAACTTCTCAAACTCAACACCCAAAAAACAAATAATCAAGTCAAAAAATGGGCAGAAGATATGAAAAGACACTTCTCTGAAGAAGACATACGAATGGCTAACAGACACATGAAAAAATGTTCATCCTCATTAGCCATCAGGGAAATCCAAATCAAAACCACATTGAGATATCACCTTACGCCAGTTAGAATGGCAAAAATGGACAGGGAAAGAAACAACAAATGTTGGAGAGGTTGTGGAGAAAGGGGAACCCTCTTACACTGTTGGTGGGAATGCAAGTTGGTACAGCCACTTTGGAAAACAGTGTGGAGGTGCCTCAAAAATTTAAAAATAGAGCTACCCTATGACCCAGCAATTGCACTCCTGGGTATTTACCCCAAAGACACAGATGTAGTGAAAAGAAGGGCCATATGCACCCTGATGTTCATAGCAGCAATGTCCGCAATAGCCAAACTGTGGAAAGAGCTGAGATGTCCTCCAACAGATGAATGGATAAAGAAGATGTGGTCCATATATACAATGGAATATTACTCAGCCAACAGAAAGGATGAATACCCAACTTTTACAACAACATGGATAGGACTGGAGGAGATTATGCTAAGTGAAATAAGTCAAGCAGAGAAAGTCAATTATCATATGGTTTCACTTATTTGTGGAACATAGGGAACAGCATGGAGGACACTAGGAGAAGGAAGGGAAAAATGAAGCGGGGGGGGAATTGGAGGGAGAGATGAACCATAAGAGACTATGGACTCTGAGAAACAAACAGGGTTTTAGAGGGGAGGGGGAAGGGGGATGGGTTAGCCTGGTGATGGGTATTAAGGAGGGCATGTACTGCATGGAGCACTGGGTGTTATACAAAAACAATGGAACATGGATCACCACATCAAAAACTAATGATGTATTGTATGGTGACTAACCTAACATAATAAAATTTAAAATAAATAAATAAATAAAAGTAAGGCTTCTGGCAAAGACAAAATGAAGAGTGTGGTCATTATTCCTTTTGTTAAAATGTCTGATTTGAGGGTGCCTGGATGGCTCAGTCGGTTAAGTGACTGCCTTCGGCTCAGGTCATGATCCTGGAGTCCCAGGATCGAGTCCCACATCAGGCTCCCTGCTTGGTGTGGAGTCTGCTTCTCCCTCTGACCCTCCCCCCTCTCATGAGCTCTCTCTCTGTCTCTCATTCCCTCAAATAAATAAATAAAATCTTTAAAAAAAATAAAATGTCTGATTTGATTAATGGGCTGGCTAGTAAATCCTCTAAGTTTGAAAAAACAATTCAGGAATAAGCATCTTAGGTCGTGCTTCTCTCCAAGGACATCTGATAAAACTCAAGGGATCTATAATTAAATCTAATGAGAAGCATGTCTCAAAAAGAATTGTAGATGTAAGTACTGCCACACAAAGCTAGTCATAGTCAATCAGATAAAAGGTCAACTCTATTTTAGTATAAACCTAAACTAAAAGATATTCTGTTCATGACCATAACCGGGTCTCCTGCTCTTTACAAACAGGAAGTAGACTAAGAAAGTTGCTTCAGCCACAAGAAGGGGATATTCTTCAGTGCCTTCTTCCCATGTGGGAAGACGAATAATGAAAAAAGGTAGGATTTCCTCAATGGCATAACCAAGATCCATAAAGAACAATGGGCTGGGATTCTAATCACCATGGTAGGATTTTCCCAAAGAACTTAAAAATATTTTACATGCTCACCATCAGTGGGCAGGTTGCATCTGAGATCCTTAATTTCGTCTTCTGTGAGTTTCCATCCCATGGTTTTCAAAACTGAACCAAGTTTATTGACATTAACAATCCCTCCTTGGAAATGAAAAATGGTCAAGAAACAAAAAAATGAAAGAAAAATACAGGTTTATATATTTAAACAACCTAGGGGCCCACAAGACTGAAGTAGAGGTGGAAATATAAAGGGTGTTTTCTGTCAGAAGTGTTTTTCTTTTGCAGGCAAGGGATCTTTTTCTAAAATTTTGGTTTGGGCGACTTCTTAGAAACTTCCTCTGTTGGGGATAAAAAATCTGAAATCTTAATCTCATTGCCCAGAATGCATTTTATTATAGTCAGTCAGCATGTTGTATAGTTTTTGGATTCAAATAACTTAAATGGACTTGAATGAAACAAGTGAAAAAAGTAATTTTATCTTCTCACTCATAAGTGGGCTCATTTTTATTTACTTTATTAGTTGTCTCAACTCCTAACCAAATTCCCCAAATATTTTCCCTTTAGTTTCTCTGTTCCAACACAGATATTAGTTTCTTTTCTGGAAAACATTATTTAAAAATTCATGTGGTGATAATTTGCTCACAGACAGGTCTATATCAGAAGGTAGGAATGACATCAGTATTTAAGTAGGTTAGTGAAAGTCACAATTGGGTATCTAGGAAGTAGTATGTATGTTCCTCTTAGATTCATCTGGCTTTTGACTATGCTTCTCACTTACCATTAAGAGACTTCAAACCATCCAGCAACCTATTCTTGTAGACTTTCCCATTAGCTACAGGAAACATAAATCAGATCATACACAAGTAAGTGATGTGGAGAGTCACCAACGCAGCAAGTCATAATTTAATGTAAGGAGGATTTGTGCTTTTCTCTAGAAAATTTCCAAATTACTTTCAAATTTAAAAAAAATGAAATGGCCACCAATGCATCCACTCTATTCAATTGTTGGCACCTCAGCATGTTAATGCTGGCAATCTACAATGCATGAGCTTTTGAAAAAAAAAATTCTTTCTGCTCTTTCGTCTAGTTAGTATACCTTTTAGAATTCCCTTTTCTATGGAATTTGCCTACAAAAGGTATTTCTTAACCTTGATGGCAGGTTGTGAATAGAGCAGCAGCTGATTTCCAACTAAAAACCTGTAATGGATAGAATTCCTTCTTAAAAATCTTCTGTTAAAATGTTTTTATTATGGGCACCTGGGTGGCTCAGTCATTAAGCATCTGACTTTGGCTCAGGTCATGATCCCAGGGTCCTGGGATGGAGCCCTGCATTGGGCTCCCTGCTCAGCGGGAAGCCTGCTTCTCCCTCTCCCACTCCCCCTGCTTGTGTTCCCTCTCTCGCTGTGTCTCTGTCTGTCAAACAAATGGATAAAATCTTAAAAAAAGTTTTTATTATGAAAAATTTCAGCCATATACAAAACTAGAATAGAAAAAATGAATCAAAAAAAAAAGAAAGAAAGAAAGAAAGAAACAGTGAATCCTCATATATACTCAGCTCAAACAGTTACTGATGTTCTACTATTTGATAGAATCCTTTTAAGGTGAAACTGGATCATTCATTGTCTTTAAAAATTATTTGGACTATTGGACATATAAGTTCACATAAATGAATAAATTGAACCATATCATAATGGCTGTACTTTTTCAGTCTAGAGTTTGGGGTTTTTTGTGTGTGTAATTGCCTTTCTCTACTACTCCCTTCTCAGTCTATGATCCAGCCACAAGACCCCAGATAACTCACATTAACAATCTAGAATATAGAGCATATCTTCATATTATCTATCAATATATGTATAGATATATAATTACATTAGTGAAATCATTTATTCTAAGTAACTGTGGAAAGTATCTATGCTATCATATGAGAAAGTTTATAGAAGTTCTTACAAGGGAAGAAATGTATCCTTCCCTCAACAGCATAGTAACAGTTTATTTTTGTAAAGAATTTATTTATTTATTTATTTGAGAGAGCAAGAATGAGAGACGGAAAGAGAGCACATGGCGGGGGGAGGGTGAGAGGGAGAAGCAGACTCCCCGCTGAGCAGGAAGCCCGATGCAGGACTCGATCCCGGGACTCCAGGATCATGACCTGAGCTGAAGGCAGTCGCTTAACCAACTGAGCCACCCATGCGCCCAAGACCGTAGTAACATTTTAAATTCTTACCATTAACTGGCAGATTTTTTACCAGTTCTCCACATTCCTTATCTGTGACAGTTACTCCTATGTTTTCCAGGACATTTCCCACATCACTGACATCAACCTCTCCTCCTTCAGCATAACAAAATGGGCACAGATTAGTCCAGAGAAAGGTCTAATACCTCCAAAAACATGTTGATGCCTTTTCAGCTTCAGCTACGATAGCTCAATGAGCAAACACACATGAATATGCTAACTGTTCACCACTGTCTTTAATGGGGGTAGAAATAGAATTTCTTCCTTACTCTTAGTAAAGTGATAGACATACTGATGCACTTTACATAATGTAAATTAGGACACTGTAGGCATAAGATCCATTTATTTTGTAAGGGATATTACACCTCTCCTAATTTCTTAACGATGAGAGTATTTTATCTTTGTGAAAGTTTGCTCTATCATTTGCTGTCCTAATTTAAATTTGGCAGTCAAAATGAAGCATAGTGACAATTCTTGGCAAATATTCCAGAAACAAAGAAATTTGCTACTAGAACTTTGCACTGAAAAATTAGTTCTAAAATGCAGATATTCTAAAGTATAATTCTAGGCAACTGAATGCAGATATTCATCAATATAAAAGAAAAATGGATAGAATAAAAAAGGAAATGGAGAAATGATGGGTCTATATAAAAATATAAATTAATATAAAGAATTAAGACATTAGATTTATAGAAACTTCTAACTAACCTGTAACAGTTTCCACTGCTTCCATCAAGTTTTTGAGACCAATCTTCCCATTAGCTGTAAGAAATATCATAATTAGGATGTGGCAATGTTGTAAGATAAAGGAGCTATAAGAAGAAAAAGATTCCACTGACAATTTAATCTCAACCAATCAAAAGTTTATATGGATTGGATTACAAGAATTCATTCTATGGTAGATAGGGGGTTGACCCAAGGAAACTTTCTCTAAATCTTTCGCTTGCAGGAGTGTTACAGTAGGCTGAGGATGCTGTTTGGTCTCTGGTAGCCCTTACTTCTGGTGCATACACAAAGTTCCTCCCAAGACTGATGTTGAAAGAGATCCCCATTTTTCATGTTTTATCTTTTAGTAACCATCTTCTTCAGTTATTTCAACTACTAACTTGGACTGGTTGATATGTGTTCTTAATCTTTTGTTACCAACACATCCATAAAGTTTGGATTAACATTTCTACCTTTCTGTCTTTGGGAAAAAGAAATCATTAGTTAAAGCTAGAGGGTTATAGAAATATGGCATTGTTTCAATATCAGGAAGGACTGATCAACCACATAAGACTAGCTACTTTATTTACTGGGCCATGTAAAAAAATGAAAATGCAGGGCCCCTTGTTCAAAGCTTTATCTTTTTTCCCCCATAGTCTCATTCCTGAGTTGTCCTATTGGTGTTTTTGGTTTAGTTTTTAAATCTGCTAGTTAATGTCACACTCTCACAGGCATGGCATCTTCTAGGGTTGAGTGCAGAACCTCACAGGTGTCCTGGGTGGGGTCCCACTACTCAACATGCACAGGGCTCACTAGCCTTCCTCCCACCTGCTGCTAGATCCACACATCCTATGCACTGGTTGCCTCAACTCACTACGAATACGCAACTCCCAAGAGTAAAGTAACCTTGACATGGGACACACTATGTACTTGGAAGGGGATGGGCAACAGGCTTGACCCTGTCAGCCCAGAGTGGGGAGTGCTGCCGCCATGTCTTCCCACAAGATGCCTTCAGGTGCAGGTTCCCAATGCCAGCCCTCCCTGAAACCATGTCCAGGTCCCTGCTGGTGTCAGAGGATGCAGATGTTGCCAGGCACAGGTGATGAAATGGAGGTCTGCTGTACCAGAGGCTGTGGAATGGTTGATCCAGAATACATCCTGGGGACTAAATGGCAAGGGCAGTAACATTCGTGAGCTGGGGTACCAAGCCCCAGCCATGCTCCAGTTTGCCATCAGATTTCAATTAGGAAATGCAAATTCAAAGATAAGGTTATGAAGATTCTCAGTGATGGCCAAAGCAGAGCATTAAACCCCAAGCATGGTACTCTTTTGAGCTCAGGATTCTGTGCAGCTAACTGCACTGGTTACACACTGTCATTACCCAAAGCAAGATAAAAGGAAGGCCTGTAGTGCCACAGATTTAACAATCAAAAGACTCAAGAGGAGAGCTAACTGCAGAATCCATGATTCCTGCTCCTCAGGTCATCATAAAGTTTCTGAATGATGTTTTTAAATATGAGAAGATAATGAATCACAATATAGTAAATAGTGATTAGGACTCAAAAAGAGCATGACGCTGGAATGGGGAGGGTGACAGAGAAGCTGAATATATGCAAGAGGAGGAAAGAAGCCCAAGATTACACCAGAATAATCTGGATATGAGCCAGTTTCCCCACTGTGGAATTTAAGGCTTGTCTAAATTGTGGCTGGTACCAGGCTCCTTTAAGAATGAACAATTCTCATCTGGGGATGAAGCAAAACTATCTGCTGAATCTGGTTTTTGGATGTTACCTGCAGATATATATTGTTACTTCAATGCAGATGACTGGCAAACAGTCCTCCTTTATTGATTTATTTTGATTTGATGTCATTTGATTTTATCTTCTTTAGTTCTAGCCACATGAGGCTTTTTAGGAAAGTGCTACTTGGCCTCAAAGCATATGGTACACATGTATATTAGGCAATTGTTAATGAAAACAAAACAAAAAAACAGCTATCTATATACCAAAACTCTTATTTCCTCTCATAGTGTAGAATTATAGACGGAAGTGGATGCTCAGCCAGATACTATGTTCCTATCACCGCCCATCCCACCTCCCCCTTGCATATAGTTGTAGCCATGTGACTAGTTCCCAACAAAGAATGGTTATGGAAATGACATGTCCTACATCTCTCTCCTTCATGCTCCCTTTTCCATTCCATTAATTAGATATAAACAATGAAAAGGCTATAAGAACGAATCCAAGAGGCAAGGAACCCAGATCCCTGTATCACTGAAAGGAGATGAGCCACTGCCCGTCAACCAAGAATACTCTCACCTTGGACTTTTACGGGGGAGAGAATTAAACTTCTATTGTGTTTAACCATTACACGTTTTCAGGTTTGTTTGTTTGTTTTTAAAGATTTTATTTATTTATTTGACAGATACATAGCGAGAGAGGTAACACAAACAGGGGGAGTTGGAGAGGGAGAAGCAGGCTTCCTGCTGAGCAGGGAGCCCCATGCGGGCTCGATCCCAGGAGTCTGGGATCATGACCTAAGCTGAAGGCAGACGCTTAACAAATGAGCCACCCAGGTGCCCTCAAGTTTGTATTTAAATAAAAATTGAGTTTACCCTAAATAATACATATTCTGTTCTTAAATCAGGACTGGTTTATTCCTATCTTTCCAAAATGCTTCTATTTTCTTTTGGTATATGCAATATCACTAATTAATGTGGGTTCTCTGACACCAGCTCATAAATGTAGTAAACTCATCTCTAAGGTTCATTATCATCTACAATCCTCACCATCAGGTGGCAAATATTCTGTCAGACCTTCACGTTCCTTTTCTGTGAGTTCAATTCCCAGGTTTTCCAGAACATTGTCTAAGTTATTGATTTTAACCATTCTTCCTTAAGAAACAAACAGGAAAGAATCATGAAAAAAATACTACATGATTTCAAAAGATTAGTATATATATATTTTTTTCTCACATGAATCAATTTAATAAAAAATAAAGACAAACATACAACTTATTTATATTAGTGAACAGGCATATAAGGTTAGCTCAGCAAATCACTTAAAATGAGATCAAGAACAACTTAGATAAAAATGTTCTGAGGTGGGGGGGAGGAGCAAGATGGCAGAGGAGTAGGAGACCTAAATTTTGTCTGGTCCCAGGAATTCAGCTGGATAGGGATCAAACCATTCTGAACACCTAGGAACTCAACAGGATATTGAAGAAAAGAATAGCAGCAACTCTCTGAACAGAAAAGTGACCACTTTCTGGAAGGTAGGACATGTGGAGAGGTGAATCCGAGGCGATAATCGGGAAGATAGACAGCGGGGGAGGGGGGCCTCCGTTGGCTGCTTCTGGCAAGTGATAGAGCCGCAGAGCACAAAATCTGAACTTTTAGAAGTCTGCTCTGCTGAGGGACGTCGCTCCAGTGGCTAAGTGGGGGGTGGAACCCTCGCGGGACAGTGTGGTCTCAGGACCCTCAGGGACACAGAAATCCCGGGGGTGCCTGAGTGCAGCAGGCCTCCCACGTATCGGAGCAGGGAAGCCGCCTGCAGAGACAGAGCGGAGGAGTGGGCTCTCAGCTCGGGGTTGCCATAAGCCGTGATCTACAGCATAGCCAGGACACTGCTCCTCCAGCAGGGACCCAAATAGCTGCAGATCCGGGGAGACTCCCCTTCCTCCCGTGGGAGGAGTGGTGCGGGAGCGCACTGCAGGGATCTGCTGGGTTTGGAGACTACACACGGGGTCAGGTGCCAGAGATAGAAACACTCGGTCACAGGCCAGGTGAGCACGGAGTGCGGCCAGAGACCGGGGAGACGGGAGTGACTGCTTGCTTTTCTCTGGGGGTGCACTGAGGAGCGGGGCCCTGAGTTCTCGGCTCCTCTGGGTGGAGATTGGGAGGTCGTCATTTTCCCTCTCCTCCTCCAAAGCTGTATGGAAAGCTTGGCAGGAACAAAAGCTGCCGAGAGCAAACCCGAACAGATCGCTTAGCCTGGCCCCAGCAAGGGCGGGGCAATTCTGCCTCCAGCAAAGACATCTGGGAACCAGAGCAACAGGCCCCTCCCTCAGAAGATCAGCAAGAACAGCCTACCAAGACCAAGTTTACCGATCAAGGAGAACAGGAGAACTCCAGCGCTAGGGGAATATTGCACATAGAATTCATGACTTTTTTTTACCATGAATCTTTAGCCTTTCAGGGTTAATTTTTTTTAACTTTCTTTTTTATTTTTTCAAATTCTTCTTTTTCCCTTTTTCAACCAACATCTTATCAATCCCGTTTTTAAAAAATCTTTTTTATTTTTCATTTTTAGAGTCATAATCTATCCCTTCATAGTAGTTAACCTTATTTTTGGTATATATATATACACACACACACATACATAAGTTGTTTTCTCTTTAAAATTTTGGGATACAGTGTCTTCTAACAGACCAAAATATACCCTAAACCTCTACTGTATGGCTTTGTTCTAGTCTCCTGCCTGATCACATTCTCTCCATTTTTTTTTTAAATCCTCTTCTTTCTTTTTCAACCAACTTCTTATCTTATCAATTCCTTTTATAAAATCTTTTATAATTTTCATCTTTACAGTCATATTCCATCCCTTCATCTTATTTACCCTTATTTTTGTACATGTATAAGTTTTCTTTCTTTAAAATTTTGGGAGGCACTTTCTTCTAACAGACCAAAATATACCCCAAATCTACTGTGTGGCACTGATCTATGCACCAGCCTGATCAATTTGATCATACTCTGTTTTTTTGTTTCTTTGTTTTTATCTTTATCCTTTTCTTTTCTTTTTTCTTTTTTCTTTCTTTCCCTTTCTTTTCGCCCAGTTTCAGGTCTATTCTGATTTGTTTAGTGTATATTTTTCTGGGGTCGTTTTTACCCTGTTAGCATTTTGTTCTCTCATTCATCTATTCTCCTCTGGACAAAATGACAAGACAGAAAAAATCACCTCAAAAAAAGGAACAAGAGGCAGTACTGACTGCCAGGGACCTAATCAATACAGACATTAGTAAGATGTCGGAACTAGAGTTCAGAATGACGATTTTAAAGATACTAGCTGGACTTGAGAAAAGCATGGAAGATATTAGAGAAACCCTTTCTGGAGAATTAAAGAACTAAAATCTAACCAGGTCAAAATCAAAAAGGCTACTAGAGGTGCAATCAAAAATGGAGGCTCTAACTGCTAGGATAAATGAGGCAGAAGAGAAAATCAGTGATATAGAAGACCAAATGATAGAAAATAAAGAAGCTGAGAAAAAGAGAGATAAACAACTACTGGATCACGAGGGCAGAATTCGAGAGATAAGCGATACCACAAGATGAAACAATATTAGAATAATTGAGATCCCAGAAAAAGAAAGAGAGAGAGGGGCAGAAGGTATATTGGAGCAAATTATAGGAGAGAACTTCCCTAATATGGGGAAGGAAACAGGCATCAAAATCCAGGAGGCACAGAGAACCCCCCTCACAATGAATAAAAATAGTAAAAATTACGAGTCTCAGAGACAAAGAGAAAATTCTGAAAGCAGCTCGGGAGAAGAGATCTGTAACCTACAATGGCTGAAACATTAGACTGGCAACAGACCTAGAGACCTGGGAGGCCAAAAAGGACCGGCATGACATTTCTCAGAGCACTAAATGAGAAAAATATGCAGCCCAAAATACTATATCCAGCTGGGCTGTCACTGAAAATAGAAGGAGATAAAAAGCTTCCAGGACAAACAAAAACTACAGGAATTTGCAAACATGAAACCAGCCCTCCAAGAAATATTGAAAGGGGTCCTCTAAGCAAAGAGAGAGCCTAAAAGTAACCTAAGCCAGAAAGGAACACAGACAATATACAGTAATAGTCACCTTACAGGCAATACAATGGCACTAAATTCATATCTTTCAATAGTTACCCTGAATGTAAATGGGCTAAATGCCCAATCAAAAGACAGAGGGTATCAGATTGGATAAAAAACAAGACCCATCAATATGCTGTCTTCAAGAGACTCATTTTAGACCCAAAGACACCCCCAGATTGAAAGTGAGGGGGTGGGGGCGCCTGGGTGGCTCAGTTGGTTAAGCGGCTGCCTTCGGCTCAGGTCATGATCCTGGAGTCCCGGGATCGAGCCCCGCATCGGGCTCCCTGCTCGCTGGGGAGTCTGCATCTCCCTCTGACCTTCTTCCCTCTTGTGCTCTCTATCTCTCATTCTCTCTCTCAAATAAATAAATAAAATCTTTAAAAAAAAAAAAAAGAAAGTGAGGGGGTGGAAAACCATTTACCATGCTAATGAACACCAAAAGAAAGCTGGGGTGGCAATCCTTATATCAGACAAATTAGATTTTAAACCAAAGACTACAATAAGAGATGAGGAAGGACACTATATCCTACTTAAAGGGTCTATCCAACAAGAAGATCTAACAATTGTAAATATCTATGCCCCTAACATGGGAGCAATTATATAAGTCAATTAATAACAAAAGCAAAGAAACACATTGACAACAATACAATAGTAGTGGGGGACTTTAACACTTCCCTCACTGAAATGGACAGATCATCTAAGCAAAAGATCAACAAGGAAATAAAGACTTTAAATGACACACTGGACCAAATGGACTTCACAGACATATTCAGAACATTCCATCCCAAAGCAACAGAATACACATTCTTCTCTAGTGCCCATGGAACATTCTCCAGAATAGATCACATCCTAGGTCACAAATCAGGTCTCAACCGGTACCAAAAGATTGGGATCATTCCCTGCATATTTTCAGACCACAATGCTTTGAAACTAGAACTCAATCACAAGAGGAAAGTTGTAAAGAACTCAAATACATGGAGGCTAAAGAGCATCCTACTAAAGAATGAATGGGTCAACCAGGAAATTAAAGAAGAATTAAAAAAATTCATGGAAACCAATGAAAATGAAAACACAACTGTTCAAAATCGTTGGGATGCAGCAAAGGCAGTCCTAAGAGGAAAGTATTAGCAATACAAGCCTTTCTCAAGAAACAGGAAATGTCTCAAATATACAACCTAACCCTACACCTAAAGGAGCTGGAGAAAGAAGAGAAAATAAAGCCTAACCCAGCAGGAGGAGAGAAATAATAAAGATCAGAGCAGAAATCAGTGAAAAAGAAACCAAAAGAAGAGTAGAACAGATCAACAAAACTAGGAGCTGGTTCTTTGAAAGAATTAACAAGATTGATAAGCCCCTGGCCAGACTTATCAAAAAGAAAAGAGATATGACCCAAATCAAGAAAATCATGAATGAAAGAGGAGAGATGACAACCAACACCAAAGAAATGCAAACAATTATAAGAACATACTGTGAACAACTATATGCCAGCAAATTAGATAATCTGGAAGAAATGGGTGCATTCCTAGAGATGTATCAACTACCAAAACTGAACCAGGAAGAAATAGAAAACCTGAACAGACCTATAACCACTAAGGAAATTGAAGCAGTCATCAAAAATCTCCCAACAAACAAAAGCCCAGGGCGAGATGGCTTCCCAGGGGAATTCTATCAAACATTTAAAGAAGAATTAATACCTAGTCCTCTGAAACTGTTTCAAAAAATAGAAATGGAAGGAACACTTCCAGACTCGTTTTATGAGGCCACCATTACCTTGATCCCAAAACCAGACAAAGACCCCATCAAAAGGAGAATTAAAGACCAATATCCTTGATGAACATGGATGCAAAAATTCTCATCAAAATACTAGCCAATAGGATCCAACAGTATATTAAAAGGATTATTCACCATGACCAAGTGGGATTTATCCCTGGGCTGCAAGGTTGGTTCAACATCTGCAAATCAATCAATGTGATAAAATACATTAATGAAAGAAAGAACAAGAACCATATGATCCTCTCCATAGATGCAGAAAAGCATTTG